ACAAAAAGAAAGAAAATCCGCGGAAAAGTTAGTTGTAGTAATCCATTGTAAAAAAAATTTTTACAATCATAACCAAACAAGGTGGTTCGTATCCATTTTTTTTTTTCAAGGTTATAATAGATAGGTTACCTGTTTGCCTCACGACAACAACAACCACAACCACAACAACAAACGTTTCAACTTAAAAAAAAATTTATCTTAACTTTATTTGCAAATTATTTATTTATTTATTATTAGTTTTTTATTTATTTATATTAAAAAAAAATTTCGTTTTGTTTTTATTTATTGTTTAAACAAAATATGTTTTCGGGCAAACAACAACAACAAAAACATTATTTATTATTATTATTATTATTATTATTATTATTATTATTATTATTATTATTATTATTATTATTATTATTATTATTATTATTATTTTAATTAAAAGAATCATTTAATATGAAAATATTTATACGTTCGGTCACTTTGTTACGCACTCCGCCTGTTTTCTTATTAATTTTTTTTTTTTAAATTGGTTCGAGAGAACATAACGAAAAAAAAACATAAACATAAAAACATAAACTTAAAAAAGTTTACTCAAATTTATCAATGAGATGATAGGATTGTAGTAAGATCAATAAACTTGAAATAGTTGATAAAATTTTTCTTTGTTTTTTTTTTTTTTTTTTTGTAAATTTGACATTGTTTAAACATTTTTATGTTTTGTTTATTATGTTTTATTATTATTATTATTATTACTATAAAAAATATACTCTAATAATCATTTACGACGACGACGACGACGCGTTGTGTTTTTTTATGTTTAAACGCATTGCTTACCAACCGAACAACATATTAATAATAATAAATCTTTCTCTTTTCTTTATAAAACATAAAAAAAAAAAAAAACATAATGATTTTAATTTTTTAAATATGTCGACGATGTGTTATTGTTTTTCAAGGATCTTTTTTTTTTTCTCGTTATGTTTCGTTATGTTTTTTTAAACATAAAAAAAAAAAAATTCGATTTAAAATTTTTTTTATGTTTTAAACATAATTTCTTTTTTTTAGGGATTTCATCGGATAAATGTTTTGTTCTCACATTAATAATAATAGTAATAATACTTAAATCGTTAACATTTAATTATTAACATTCTCAAGTTGTTTAGTATGTTTTTTGTTTAAATACTATAATATAAATAATAATGATAATGATAATAATAATAATGATTTAACCTTCGTCGATTCGTTTATTGAATTTAAAAGGGAAGGAAAAAAATTTTTTTTTATTTTACGCGTCATTTTTTACGTCGAAAAAATTAAATTTTTTTATGATTCTAATAATAATGATAATAATGATAATGATAATAATGATTAGAGTGATGCGTTATGTGCGAGTAAACGAGAGAAAAAATAATAGTAATAATAAACGATTTGAGGATGATGGTTCTTAAGCGTTTTCGAAGATGTATGGGATTTGATAAACCGTTCGAAATAATAATAATAATGATAATAATAAAATATGGCTACGATTTAAACGTAACGGGATAAAAAAAAAAAAAAAAAAACAAATTATGTTAACGAGATGAATAGATTCTCGTGCCACTTCTTATAAGCCTACGTCGTACACGTGTGTGCGTAAACAAGCACGTTTAATCAACAAAAAAAGAAAAAAAATTTTTTTGTGTTCACCTTTTTGCAAATTTAAACGTTTTCTGACGATCGTAAAAAAATAATAATGATGATAATGATAATGATGATGATGATAACGATTCGTATGGATTGGGGGGTGGGGGGAATGCGTTTATAATTGCTGGAATGAAAAAAAGGAGAGGACGATGACGATGGCATCGCGTAGGGTAATGATGATATCATAAAAATTCGTTCCGCGAAATAATAATAATAATATTAATGTAAATTATTAATAATGAGGTGGGGAAGGGGATTATTAATGATCTAATAAGTAAATGTAATTAACCGTCGCTTATTTATTATCATTATTATTATTAAAAATAAATTATTTTATTCTCGTGCGTTTTTTGTTTTTCTTATTCGTTGTTCAAAGAGGATTTTTTTTTTTTTTTTGGAAATTTTGAATAGTTGGAAAGTTTTCACGTTTGTCGTTTGTTGTTAAGGATTCGCGTTTGTTATTTAATGAATGAATGAATGAATGAATGACTGAATGACGAAGCAAACAAAAACGGGCGGAATAATTTTTCGGACGCAAAAATGACGTTACAAAATAAATTCGATTTATTACGAAAAAAAAAAAAATTATTATTATTATTTTTTTATTACTCGAATCGCGAATTAAAAAATTACGTAATAATAATAATAATAATAATAATTCATTGTTCAGACGACCCACGAAATGCCTTTAAAAAAAAAGAAAAGCAAGAAAATTAATTCGTGATAAAAAATAACCACGTGATAGGAGAGGAAAATCCTCAGAAATAATTTATTACGGGGTCACGTAGATTTAACCTTTGACGTGGCACTAGTTTTTTTTTGTTTTGGAAAAACGATATCGTTTCCAGAAAAAAAATTTTTTTTTTGTAAAAGTAATTAAAAAAAAAAAAAGTGGCAGTAGAACGTTTGGAATTTACGTTTTTGTAGACGTAGATAATAATTAAACGAGTTAATTTAGTATAGATTTTATCCATCGCACACTTTTTCATTTTTATCTTATCTTTCCTCCTTTGATTTTATTTTTTTATTAAATAATTAAAACCATTTCCGGTTACGAACGAACGAACGAACGAACGAACGAACGAATTAACTTTTTTAATGTCTCCCGACGTAAAAATTAATAATTATTACCGCATCATTTCATACACGATTGTAATCGCCCCAAAAATTATCATCATTATCATTATCATCATTATCATCATTATCATCATCATCATCATCATCACAATTTGTCGCAAATTTATTTAATTTTTTTTTAGTGATAATTAAATATGACCGAAGAAAATTAGGTTCTTAACATAACGAAAAAAAATGGCGTCCGGTAATTTTTTAATTTTTTTTTTCGTTTGTTTTTAATCTTATAAATTATTATTATTATTATTATTATTATTATTATTATTATTATTATTATTATTATTATTATTATTATTATTATTATTATTATTTACATAATTTAAAATTATTACGTCATCGTAATAAATAATTTTAATTTTTTAAAAAAAAAATTTAAACTCGTTCGATAGTATTAGAGTTGAAATAAATAAATAATAATAATAATATTACGTAGGTTGTTGCTGACTAAAATTAATTTTTTGTTTGTTTGTTTGTTTGTTTCCAGTTTTGTTAAGTTTAGACATTTTTTATTTAGTTGTTGTTAGGTAACTAATATGAAATAATTACGTAATTATTTTATTATTTTTATCACTTTGTTATTAATTGCAAAAAAAATATTTTGGGCGGTTTTTAAAAAACGGTTTTGTTGTTTTTGTTTTGAACGAACTCGTTCCTTCCACGTTAAAATTTTATACAGAGCTGCCGCCATTTTGTTGTTTACATAACAAAAAACCTCGAATGCCGACACGTTGTTAAAGTATCGATTTTGGAGAGTTTCGTACAAAAAAAAAAAAAAAGAAACTATATTGCATTACTCTAAAGTAATTTTATAATAGTTCAAGGATTTCGTTCTTGGAATAATAATAATAATAATAATAATAATAATGATGGAGCGAACGTTTCTTTGTCAGCTTAAATTGAGATGTGAAAACATGTTGTTATTCACATCTTCTAGTTTTATGTTTTTTTTTTTTTTTAAATGCAACAAAACAAATTAATGAAAAAAAAACATAATTAAAAACATAAAATAAAAGAGTCTTGTAGGTTTTTTTTTAAAATGGCGGCTGCTAAAAAAAAAAAAATCGTTAAAAACGTGAACATAATAATTTTAAGTTTCGAATCGTTTCTAAAAAATTATTATTATTATTATTTAAAAAAGTTCAAAAGGTAAAAAGTTTAAGGGAAAAAATTTTCTCCTTTCTTTTATTCTATTTATTACGGGTTCAATAAATTTTATTAAACTATTATTATTATTAATAAATCGAGGTCAATTACGAAATTAAATAATTTTTATTAAAAAAAAAAAAAAAATTTTTTTTGTAGTGAGATGCGAATTTACTTGACAGAAACAAAAACAAAATCATTTTGATAAAAGTGATAAAAGATTAAATTTAATTAATGTTGACAATTAAATTTGCGATTGTACATAATAATAATAATAATAATTACGTAATAATTTTTAATTATTATTATTATTATTATTATTTATAAAAGTGAAACGACTTGTTTAACTTGCGGCAAGCGACGAATTGTTTGTCGACAATTAAAAAAAAAAAAAATCTGATTTTTTTAAAGGTAGTAGGATGATTGTGGGGGAGGGGAGGAAGGAAAAGGGGACGGTAGTGGGGAGGGCCACGGGGAGGGTCACGTGGGGTCATGACGATTAAATGACCCGTCGGTACAAACAAACAAACAAAAAAAAATATTTTTTTGGAGTTGATAAGTGAAATCACACACACGTGCACACGTACGCGATTTTTTTCCTCGTTTATTTCGCTTCCGTGATTTGTTTAAACAATTGAACGTCTTCGTCTCTCTTATAAACAATTAATTAATTAATTGAAAAACAAAGAAATAATAATAATAATAATAATAATAATTTTTGTTTATAAATTTATCGTTTTTTAAATTTTAATTCCGTAACGTTGTGTAGTGAGAATTGTAATATTTGGGGGAGGGGGAAGGGGCGTTGATTGTAATTATGCTTACGTCATAACGTATCGTTTAAAATAAATTTTTTATTATTTAATACGTTTCGTACCTGATTCTGCAAATCGTGTTGTAAAGGTTCGACCAGATTTTTGTAAAACGTGATGTAGAATAAAATCTTTGTAAATTATGTCAAAATGTCTTAAACCTTTTGGAAGGTGTGTGCGTGTGCGTCGGAGTCAGTCGCCAAACGATAATTTTTTTTTTTTTTTTTCAGGTACATCAAAATGTTGCAACAAATTCTACGAGATCTTTACATAGATCCGGAATTGCTCGCTGAATTGGGTGAGGATCAAAAGCAAACATTATTTTGTAAAATGAGAGAAGAACAAGTGAGAAGGTGGAAAATATGGGATAGCGAACAAGAAAAATTAGAGAGATTAAAAGGTCCCAAACCTGAAAGGAAAACAAAAGTGAGTTTTTTAAAAGGTTCCGACGGAGAACCTTGGACTTGGGTTATGGGAGAACATCCGGATGATAAATCAATCGAACAAATACTTGAAGAAGAAGCGAGAGAAAAAGCGAGGAAATTGGCTGAAAAAGAAGCCAAAGAATTCAGGTACGTTATTATTATTATTATCCGTAACGTAAAAATTTACCACGATCTATATAACAACAACAAACAATTTGTTCGATAAAATTTTCACGTTTGATTTATATATAATAATAATAATAATAATAATGATTCGCCATTAAGTAAATCGAAGGTTACGGTTTTTTAAATTTAAATTATTATTATTATTATTTCAATATAAAAAATAATAATAATAATAATATTTTTTGTTTTCGTGAGAGCATCATCAATTAGTTTCGCTCATCGATCAAATCTTGTATACCAACGTTTTAATTTAAAAAAATTTTTTTTTTTTTTTTGTTAAGTTGGCATCATTTTTTTTTTTTGTAATTCGGGTTATACGAATCCACGTTTATGGGAGTTCATTTAACCGTGAAATCCTTGAAAAAAAAAAAATTTAATCCCTTCCTGGAATTTCGTTTTTTTTTATTGGCGGCACTGAAGATTTGGCGCCAACATTGTGATGACGACGACGTGTCATTTGTCATTTTTTTATGCGTAGGAAAAGCGTCGAAGCGGGTTTAAACGAAATATTAGATCTTAATCAAAAGAAAATACAAAAAACGGTTGAAGCGGAACTCAACGAAATATTAGACATGAATCAAAAACAAATACAACAATTGGAAGCCGCGGGAAAAACCTTAAACAGACTGAAAGATAAAACGATGATGACAATTCTACCACCGGAAACAGATGATTCCTCCGATATTTATTGCACCGTCGACGATCTTAGAAAAAAATTAAATTCATCTAAACCAAATTTCGAAATACAAAAATACAACGGAAATAATAATAATAATAATAATAGTGGAAAATTGAATAACGTTCCGCAATATAGAAATAAAGTTGCTGCCACGGTTGCACAATGGGAAAAAAGAGTTTTGGAAGAAAGAGCTAGTCAAATATTTAACAAATTACAAAGGAAACAATTGCAAGTTGTAAAAGAAGCAGAAGACGCGGAAAAAAGACAGGAAATACTATGGAGAGAACAGGGTAAGAAAATTTTTTTAAAAATTAATTTACATTTATTTACTCTATGACGTGAAAAACCCCAACAAACAAAAAAACGAGAAATTTTTTTTTTTTCTTCTTCTACACCCAAATTCTTGTTAATTAATATAATTACTCAAACGATTTTACAAAAAATTCCGCCATTTTGTTTTTTTTTTTTTTTTTTATTTACTCTATGATATTTAACGGATGTTTTCGTTAGGAAAAATTTTAAAAGAAAATTTTTTTTTTTTTGTTTTTTCGTTTTATATTTAAAAATAATCATTTCAATTTTTTTTTTCTTTTTTTTTTTTTTTTTTTTAATATTAACAAACAACAATAAAATAATAATTAATTTAAAAACAAACAACAATCGATCGATCGATCGATCGATTGATCGACAATCGAAATTTTTCGATAAAATTTTTGTTTGTTTGTTTGTATCGTTTTTTATTTTTGTTCAATCGTTCGTTCGTTTGTTTTTAAATTTTTTTGTTTTTTTTTTTTTTTTTTTTTTTACTCCCCCTTTACCCCCTTTTTAGAAAAAAAAGCCAAAGAAGCTGAACAACAAATTCGTGAAATAGCGAGGAGAGCACGAGAAGAACATAAAAGAACATCTTGTTGCGAAATTGACGTCGAAACGGAAACAAATCAAATAAAAAGGTAAAAAATCATTTTCTTTCAAAATATTATTACAACCTTGGAAAAACATAATTTTTTTTTTTTTTTTCATAACTTATTAGTTATGAAAATTCCAATCACAGCGTTATCATCATCATCATCATCATCATCATCATCATCATGATCGACGTGAATAAAAAAAAAATTCCCTCGCTTTTTTTTTCTAGAATGTTTTCATTACCATCATCATCATCGTAATATTTTTTTCGGGGTCATAATTTTCAGGTAGATGGAATTAAAGATTGAGAGACAAACGTTACGTCTCTCTCTCTCTCTCTTTCTCTTCCTCTTCCTCTCTTTCTCTCTCTGTTTCTCCTTCTCGTTACGGTCCATTTCGAAACATTTGTTTGTTGTTTTCTTCTTATTTTTGTGTACTTTTTCCTTTTCTTTTCTAATCTGAAATCAAAAGACAATTTTTTTTTTTAATCGAATCAACAACCTTTCTCCTCCCTCTCTCTCTCTCTCTCTCTTTCTCTCTCTTTTTCATTTACGCAACGAATATTTTCAAGGAAAAAATAAAAAGTAATATATCGCGATCGACCTTGGTATTTACGTTAGAAGATGATATTTGATGTCTTCTATTAATATTATTATTATTATTATTATTATTATTATTTACTTATTTACGAGAGAAAAGGAAAAAAGAGAGAGAGACAGATAGAGAGAGAGGGAGAGAGAGAGAGACAGATAGAGAGAGAGGGAGAGAGAGAGAGAAAACATTGGGAATATCGGAAAAGAACATAGGTTAAGGGAAACAATCGGTTGTTAGGAGGTTTTTTCCTTTGTTTTAACGCGAAATCGTCTCGTATTAATAATAATAATAATAATAATAATAATAATAATAATAATAATAATAATGATATTGTTTTTTCAGAACGAGTACGAAAGAACCCGTCGTTTCCATGTCTGTCGGTGTCATAAAACCAAGATCGAGAGAAGCAATAACGGAATGGTTTCAAACGGTCGAAGTGGAACGAAAAGCAGGGATAGATGATAAAAATCATGTCGCTCCCTGGTTTCACGGTAAAATAATTCAAATTTGTTCAGGAAGTTATCAATAACATGATGATAACATGATGAAATGATAATGATAATAAAATTACAAAATCCGACCGTTTGACGACATTTTAAAAAATTTTTTTTCGTTATTGTTTGTCAATCAAAGTCGACGTGTGCGTTCGTGTTGGGTTTATGTACGATGACGTCATATTTTTCTTTTCAGGTTTGATATCGCGACAGGAAGCGGAAAATTTATTATCGGATAAACCCGTCGGAAGTTTTCTAGTACGAGTTTCGGAAAAAATAAGCGGTTACGCCATAAGTTACAGGGATTCGGATCGTTGCAAACATTATCTTATTGATTCGTCAAATGGTCATTATCAATTTTTAGGTTCTAATCAAATGACTCACAAAACTTTAGGTACGCGTGATAGTGATTGATAACGATGGTGACGGTGATGATGATGATGATGATTATTGATTTAAAAAATTTTTTTTTCTCTTATCATCAGGTGAATTGATTACCTTTCACGAAACACAAGCGATCACAGCTTTGGGCGGCGAATTGTTAAGGATCCCCTGTCGGATCTCTTGTATTCCTGACATTTTCCGAGGATTAACGATTTACGCTGCCAGGTAACCTAAAAAAATCCCAAAAAAAAAAAAAAAAAAAAATTTTAAAAAGGAGAAGGATGGAAAACGTAAAAACATGAAAAAAATTACGCGACATTTTATGCGTGTTGCCATCTATAATAAATCGATCGATCGATTTAAATCCCAAGACTTTTATTTTTATTATCATTATCATTTTTTTTTTAAAATTAAGTAATAATAATAATAATAAATCAGTGAGCCAATTAAATTTTTTTAAAATAAAGTAAAAAATTCTGCTGTTGCTGTTGTTTGTAAATTTTTAATTTTAAATAATAATTAAACAAAAAATAATATTAAAAAATTCCAATTATTATTATCATTATTATTATTATTATTATTACCGTTATTATTATTATTATTATCCGTTCGTTGCGTTGCGTTTTATTATTTATTTATTTTTGAACGCCGACCATCACGAAAATCGTGAAAGTCGAATTAAAATGGGTCGAGTTTATTTCGGGACGCAGATAATTACGCGCGTACAAAAAACAAATCACTTGCACTTTATATAAATGTCATTAGGGTGATGCAAACAACAAACAAACAAGCAGACAAACGAACAAACACGTGAGCGCGTATTTCGAACGGGGGGGGGGGGGAAATCGATGATGACGTAATAAAACGAAAACTTTTTTTTTTCATTTTAATTTTTATTTAGATTTTTTCTCATAAATATTTTTTAAAAACTATAATAATAATAATAATAATTACAATAATAGTATAAATAATAATAATAATGATAATGATAAAGTTTTTTTTTTTTTTTTATTCCGTCGTCTCATTCTCGGGAAAAAAATTTTCTTTTTTTTAAATTCGGGAAAAATTTTCTTTTTTTTTTTTTTTTTTTTATTCGTTTTGAATTTCGGAAGTCCACGAACTGCAATGGGCAACATTTTTGCACGTCTTTAAATAAACAAAAAAAACATAATTAAATAATAATGATAATAATAGTTGTAATAATAATAATAATAATGAATGACAACAGTGAAAATAATTAAAAATCATACCGGAAGTAAAAACATTATTTAATTACGTTAGGAAAAAATACTTTAAATTGCTCCCATTATTATTATTATTAATTAAATAATATTAATTATTATTATTATTGTTAGTAATTGGAGTAGGTTTTAAGCAGGAGGGAGGGGGAAGAGAGAGAGTGAAGGAAAACGTGTAAAAATTTATGCGTTAAACGTTTGAAAAATCGAAAAAAAAAATAAATAAAAAAAAAGAAAATTTTATCGCGAATGATAAAAAAAAAAAAGCGCGCGTAAAATGATGACGTAACAAGATGGAGAAGAAGATGAAGAAGAGGAAGAGGAAGAGGAAGAAGATCACATAACTTGATGATGATAATTGAAGTTGATTTTGATGACTCAGAAGGTGGACGAGTTGAATTTATTCTCTGGAAATTGAAATTAAAAAAAAAAATTCTGGGAATGAATGAATGGATGAATGAAGAAGAAGAATGGGGGGAGGGGAGGGGTGGAATGGATTAAGAAGATATTTAAAATACTTACCGGTGATATGAATGCATCACCCGGATTGAGCGAAAGAGTGGTAAGTTTTTTCTTTGAATTTTTCAACGGACTACTCGTTGCTGCAAGAAAAAAAAAATTTTTTTTCATAGAGTAAATAAAAAAGAAAATTTCCGTTACGGAATTTTCTTTTTTTTTTGTTTTCATTACCTCCGGGAACGTTGGGTAGTGAAAAATTACTCTTGTTTTTCTTCCATTGTAAACCTTCTCTCGATTGATTTCTTCTGCAGTTCCACGATAATGGCGTCGTAGGCTCACCTAAATTACTTAAAACCGACGTGTCCAAAAAAATACCACCCGGAGGACGATCAAGTCTTTTTATCAGTTGAGTTCTCGGTGCAAACGGAAGTAAATTCGGATTTATACCGGTTTGTAACGTTTTCGTGACGTATAAAGAATCCCGACCGGATGTCGTAGAATTCATGGGTGATCTTTTCGTTCTGTCACTTCCGAAACTCAGAGTGTTTAAACTTGTGGGTAAAATTTGAAAATTACTTTGATTCGACGTGTTTGTTAAATATTCGTTATTTCTACCGGGTGTTTGCATACTCTGTGAAAAACTTTGAAGGGATTGAAAAGGTTCGGGAGATGATGGATTTATATCGATTAATATTTCTCTTGCCGACGTTTCTTCCGGTTGATTCGAATCACCGTAAGAACTTTGAAAAATTCGATTTTCGCTTTCTTCCTCTTCCTCTTCCTCCTCTTCTTCCTCCTCCTCACCTTCTTCCATGGTATCGCTGAGTTTTCTACGCGTGCTCGTACTTCTATTAACTTCCACGGATTGTCTTCTGCTATCGTTCGTCGTACCGTTTTCACTTAACAATGTTATTTTCCATTTCGGCGGTTCGATAAAACTATTTTTTCTCACTGATAATTTTCTCGTTTCACTATCTCTCAAACTCGAATCCCTACTTTTTCTAGCTCCCGAACCTAACAAAATGGCGGATTGATATTTTCTAAGTAAGGGATTACATTGAAATTCTTCCATTATTCTCTGTCTCAATTCTGGTAAAAATCTTTCGGAAAAATTATCTTTCACGATGAATTGATGTTTTAATAATTCAGAACTTGTCGGACGTAATTGAGGATCCATTTTAAGACAAGACGTGAGAAAATCCAGGGCGGATGATGGCCAAGATGAAAATAATTTACTCAAAGGTTTGCAACCTTCATCCGTTGGTTTTTTCAAACCTTTAAAAATTGGATTTTTCGACACGAGCTGTTGATGTTTCGTCGACAATTTTCCCATTATTTTCATTATTTGAAATAATTGATCAATGTCGGAATCACCGGGGAAAAGTGGATCACCCGACATCATTTCGGCAAACAAACAACCGATTGCCCATATATCAACTTCTTTACCGTATTTTGTATCCCCGACTAATAATTCCGGGGCTCTGTACCATCTTGTCGCAACATAATCCGTGTAAACTTCACCGTTTGTCGACAACATTCTAGCAAAACCGAAATCGCATAATTTAATGACGCCCGATGATGACACGAGTACGTTTTCCGGTTTAACATCTCTATGAATTATGTGATTTTTATGACAGAAATCCACGGCTCGTATTATTTGAAAAATATGTTCGCGACTTTTTTCCTCACCCAAACCTCCGTCTACTGCTTCGAGTTCGTCAAGTATCGTGTGGTCCATATATTCGAAAACTAAATAAAATCTTTTTTTCCTTCTGAAAACTTCGATCATGTTTACTAAATTTTCGTGTCTCAATTTTTTCAACATTCTTATTTCTCTCAGCGCCATTTTTCGTACCGTCATATCCTCTTCCGTTTCTATAAATTTTTTTATCGCTACCAATTGTCCTGTTTCACGATGACGACATTTCATAACAAGTCCGTATGACCCCTCACCCACTACTCCAATGTTTTCATACTTTTCCATCGGCAAATTTTCATCTCTTACTCTACCGGATTTATCATGATTTTCATCATCCTATAAAAAAAAAAAAAAAAACAAATCATTAGTGTTTGTGTGTGTGTCCGTACGAACGTGTCCGAACGCTCCGGTCAAAGGTCAATGTTACCTCCCCAAAAAGGTCAATGTAAATAATTTTATTTTTTTATTCATAAATTTTCTTTTTTTTCTTTCTTTCTTTCTTTCTTTCTTTTCTTGCACGCAAACGATTATTTAAATGTTTATAACAAACAAAAAAATATATAAACAATAACAATCACGAATAATAATGATAATAATCATAATAATAATAATAATAATAATAAATTTTTTTTTTTTTAAGGAAAAATTAAAATAAAAATTGAAAAAAAGAAAATTT